TCTGCAAAGAGGCGCCAATGTGGACTTTAATATTTAAAACATATAAATGACATCACGTTTTTTTTTTATGACAAAATGCTTTTTTATTTAAAAGTTTTCAGCAGCATATATATATATAAATATATATATATATATATATATATATGTGTGTGTGTGTGTGTGTGTGTGTGTGTGTGTGTGTGTGTACGTGTGTGTGTGTGTGTGTGGAAAAACTGGAAAAACTATAAGTGAATTTTACTTTAGCTCTCATCCCTCTCCCAGAATATAGAGATTTTTAGCTAGTTGCTAGTCAAGAAACAAGCTAACCTACAGAGTTTACATTCCAAATTGCAAACTTTATTAGTCATCATAGGTTAGAGATTGTAAACAATGTTGTTTAAGGGAACTTTGGAGAAGAGACTGGTGTTGTTAACCAGCTAAAGGATGTTGCTGCTGGTATTTGAGATATCTAAACATTCAAATACTAGCACTAAACTAGCTCTAAGTTTATGCTAACTGTACACTGGGTATTTGTAAATAAGTATTTCCTACAGTCTTCCCCATGGCAACTTTATTGGCAATAATACTACGTGTTAGTATTGCAATAATGAGATGTTGCAACCAACATCCAAAAAACCTGTCATTGCAACTATAAGGCTCCCGAGTGCAAATGAAACCTGCAGATTTAAGTAAACCAAATCTCAGTTTCCAACTCAGTTGTCCCATTTTTCAAAATGAAAATTGCAGTCAGAGTAAATTGAAAGCTGATACACAAAAATAATTCAAACTAGATTGTCTGTCTTCTCTGGAAGATGTTTTTGGATTTGTTTTTAAGTAAACCAGTGAAGTTAGGAACTACAGGACCGCACAGTCTATCTGCTTTGGTGCTTATTGCTTTGTTGTTTTGACTTGCTACATTATTGTCATCAGCTTGGTTAATCATCCAATTTTCTATTGACCAATATGCGGTCAAATGCTTTGATTAGAACAGATTGGCTCGCAAAGTGGCTTCACAGTGTGCTGATGTCCGCTGCTGATTAGATACCGTCCATCCTAATTAGCCCCACATCGAAGCTGGGGAGCCACTTTTACTTTCAGCCCTGAGATTTGCAGACACAAGAGGCTTTTGTTTTTGTGGTTACTTTGTCATGCAATGCCCAACTCAAAAATACGTTGAAAGCTAGCCGTGCCAAGGACAGGATTGCGTTGTGATGACTGCTGCGGTTGTAATAGGCACGTACACACCGAGCTCGTGACATGAATATAAATGCTTCATTTTGACGGAGGCTCATTTGTGCTCTTTTGTGTGATCTAATTAAATTCAACCTTTCTCTTTGATGTTCACATAAATGTCTGATTGTCCAGTTGGATAACTTTTTGCTTTTCTTTTGTTTTCAATATTGTTAGACTCCTAGAACAAAAACAATGTCATTATTTTTGTTACATAGAATAAAACACGTGGATGTTGAGAGTGACTTCTTGTTTTGGTGTTTCCTTCGGACTGCATCTTCATACATTTCAGCGTTCTCTCTCTTCCATTTTTCTCTTATGCTCACACACAACATAAGCATGAGTCACCATCTAGCAGTGATGTCACACTGCTGCAGTGATGTCACCATTCATGCTGTTCTCATGGTAACCGTGCCCAGGCCAAAGCGCAGGGATACGAGTACACAAAACACGCTACTTCACTCCACGTATTGATGCATAAGCATGGAAATTTTAGGACTCCAAAAATTAATGTCACCTCCGGTATCCGCAGACTCTCATTCACTCAGCTGGATAGCGAGGACAAATAATGGAACACGATGAAATGACTCATGAGATTTGAGCTTCGGATTGCTCTCTGTAAGACCTGGAAACACAAAAACAACACATTTTATGCGCTTGTTTTAGTGCCTGTATCTTTACAGGACTCTGTATTTGTGGAAACATATAAAGACAGAAGCCCCAGAAACCCATCACAGCGATATTATCAGCTCTCTGCTTTTGGTTCACTCCTCGGTTTAAACTGCACTTACTTGGCCCTTTTTTTTTCCATCTCTCATTCCCTAGCCATCCATCACGGATCGATATAAATCTATTCTGAGCCTTGTTGCATCAGGCTTCAGCTCAGTGGAAAGCCAAACAGCCCAAATGTGCACACACACAAGCTGTGAGCAGCAGAGAAACCGTGAATCACACTGCAGCAATAGAGGTCACGGTGAAGGGGGGGGGGGTGCAGTTTGCTGAGCAGCCACCAGATGGAGCTGTGAGCCAAGTCAGCTTTGAGGTCCTAACAGCATGTCGGTGACATTTTAAAAGAAAGTCCTCACAAAGACCACGCAAAGGTCATTGTTTCATTTCACATTTTCCAAAGCCAGTGGACTGGATTGGAGTCCTTCCCGGGTCGATTCTGGCCCCAAGGTCTTATGTTTGACAACCCTGAGTTAGATGGACCGGCCTGCCAAGGAACTTTCTGTCGTGTTGTGCACGGATGGCCCTGAGTGCACCGGAATGGATGAGGAGAGGAAAAAAGAGCTACTATGTCCTTTCAGCATAAATACTAGCACTGACAGAGCAACACTGGTGCTTTTTTAATATACGTATTCACAGCAAGTTGCATTATAAGTCCAGCTCACATTACAGAGTATAACTGCAACATCTGCAAGTGTTAGATAGTTTGACAGAGCATGAACATGTTGAAATATTCACACACGTATTAAACTTAAGAGTTTGGCATCAACCCTTCAACTCACTTGTCTCATTGTTAGGGTTTTCTAATATAACATGATATTCAGCTTTATAAAAACCCTATTATGACTGTTGTGAAGAAAACTCCTTCAGCTGTTGTCCCTCCATCCTCTGTCTCCCATCAGCCATATGTCCAGTTATTCAGTTAAAGGGTGATCACTGGTCCAGGTATCACTAGAACACTGGCCACCACATGTTGACTAGTATACAGTGTTAAAGAAGGAGTAAGCAACACCGATTTCTTGGATCAAAATGTATTAATGCAAAGGTTAAATAACACTAAGGGAAAGGCTACAATAGAATGAGTTCACAAGGAGCAGATGACCATTTGGTAAGTTGAGAACTTGAAGTGGATGAGGAGGTTGAAGAGGTGACGTAATGGAGAGGGCGAGGATGAGGAGTCAGAAACAGTAGTGAGTACTGTACAGCTCTGCTCTATATCACCTATACTCCGGGTCCCTCCATACTCTCGGTCTTTCCTCTGGATGAAGCTGGAAGCTCTTATACTGGCAGCCCCACTGTTTCACTGATTTTTTTGTGCAACTTTGCATGCTTTTTCTTCTAACCCCTAACCCTAACCCTTTTTCACAGCGCATCGTGTTCTGCATTCTGATTGGCTGTAGACCATTGTCAATCACTCTCCTGCCGTGTCTCCTTACAGTACGGAAGGCATTCATCCTGTCAAATTTACATAACTCTTTCATTGCTAGGAGTGTGACTCTGAAGTGCTGTACTGTATGTTTGTAAGTTGTAAGTCCCCAACAAACACAAAAATGTCGATTAAACATTTGCACCGCCCCATCGCCTGCAGTAGCACCCAAAAGGTAGAGGAAGATGCTAACCATCGCACAAAAAGTTGGACTTCTGGACATGCTAAAGGAAGGTAGAAGTTACCGTATGTTTCGGATTATAAGGCACATGAAGCGAAACAAAACAGTCAAATAAGTCAATCTTTACTCAACTCATTCTTCTTGCTTCCTCTACTTCCGTACCATTGACTGATTAATGTTGAATTCTCTCGCAGCTGCTCTATTCCCATGTTCTGGACCTACGAAGGTTTGAGTGTTTAAACAAGAGAGAAAAGTGTGAAAATGTTCATGGCTCTCTGAGAAAAGTGTATAAAGCGTGTATTGAGGGGTTTTACGGCCTTAAAACATCTATAATAATTGTAAAAAAATAAAGTTCACCTATCGTGGGTTATTTTTAGAGCGTAACTCCCGCGATAAACGAGGGACGACTGTAATTCATCATTGGTGACTACGGAAACCCTACCCACCTAATCTAACCCAAGGCAATGACAAGATTGCATCTACGAGGTGGGAACTCAGACTCTGACCCTGCTGCATATGCATTTCCGTTATATTTAAAGCAAGTCTTATTTTTTCTGCTTGATATTGAAATGAAGTGACAGCACCTGGGTTTAAAAAACAGTGAAACTTCTGTAAGTCACCTGTGAGGTATCATATTTGGGGGTTTCACAAATCTGGCCCTGTGTGACAAAATTTTGGTGAACTTTCTTTGTTAGTCTTTTGTGAATTCAGAAAAAAAAGTAATATTTGTTTCTAAATCCAAGTTAAAACCTGTAATACTTTGGTTGTTTTTTTGTTTTTTGTTTTTTTACATTTAGCCTAAAACATTTATGAACTTGTAATTTTTGTGTGTGTGTAAAATACAGCAACAAACCACAGCAGCACTGAGCTCGATGCTGGGCTGTGTTATTAGGAGTACAGCCACTAATGGGCCTGCATTTTACTGAGTGTGCAACCTTGGTTTAAATGAAGGTTACATCCATTATGTGCTACCTTTAGGCTAATCTATCCCCATTCCCTTAACACCCCTCCCTCACTGCCTCTTATACTTGCTATACCCCAGTAGTTATTGTTTAAAAAGTCGAAATCTATTTACATGTTTCTAAAAACACAGAGTTAGCTGGTGTTATAATATGATAATTCCACTTTTTTCTCTAATGATTTGTCCAGTCTTTCACCTGATTGGCCTTCACCAATCAAGTCACGTGGTTAAAAAAAGAAAAAGCAGGCTGGCTCGCCACTGGATAAAATGGCTCATCACTTAGGCTATTTTTTGCTGTGTACTTACCGTGTGCCTGAGCATCCCATGAGCCTCTGGGGCAAACTGCATCGTCAACACACGAGGGACGGTGTTGTTGGCGGGGAGGGGGGTGTAGAGGAGGGGCCGCGCTGAATAAGGAAGTGGGGTTGTGATTGGTCGGCAGGAGGGGAACGAATGACACCAGGGAGCCGAGAGAGTGATTGAATGGGACAGAGAGGAAGGGGAAAGGGAGGGAGAGGGGAGCAAGGGGATAGAGACAGGCAGAGAGGTAGCAGCAGATGGATTGCTGCACAGCCCGCAACATACTTACCGAGGACAGACTGTATGTGTGACAGCGCGTGTGTGCATGTACGCTGTCACAGAGGAGCACGGTTGTGAATGAGTATTTCATGTTGTGTGGAAGTGGATGCAAGGAGCAGTAATTCTCTTGAAGGGGTGGGGGGAACGAGGGATACAGACAAGTGAAGAGTCAACACTTTCGCTCTTCACACTCGGACTACTTTCAGGGCAGGTGCAACACCAACAAACCACTTTAGTAAGCCAATCACCAATGAATGTGACAGAAGAGTCTCCGTAAATGCTACAGACTGAGGCGGGACATATTCTGTGTTTGCTTGTGTTTTTTAAACATTTTTCTTTGTTTTTTCGCCTGAGCGGAGGACAGTGTCTTTACCAAAGGTAGAGTAGTCTGGATAGCTTTGGGAGTGCAGACAGAGGGATCCTCTATGGTGAAAATGAGTCTGGAGCCTGTGCAGGTGATGAGCGGACAGGTCGCCGAGCTCAAAGTTGCCCCTTCGTCCAACGGCGACAGCGCAGGATCATGGGAGGGGAAAAGAGAGTTTGACAAAGACCACCTGGGCCTCACTGCCAAGCCAAAGCCAGTAAGTCTCACTCTCCACCCAGAACTGCATGTGTCCCACTTTTATTATGTAATCTTTCCAGATCACAAGAGCGCGAAGGCCTTGCCGGTTGAGACAATCACATGGAACCAAAAAACCCTCTGTACTCCTCTTCCTTCTCTCCACCCTGTTGCTGCCCCCCCCCCCTCGCCCAGCTTATTCTCTCGAGTCAGCTGTTGACATTGCCCACGTGCGGTTTTAAGCACACCTTATAAAAGGGGGGGACTGGGAATCAGGAGCGGTCAGGCAAACTGTGAGTCTGGCTGTGTTTTGGGGTCCACAGACTATGAGTTCAGAGTCTATTTCATCCTTTGCCTCGGTCATGAATGAATTGAAGAAAAAACTAATATCTTCTGTGTCTGCCAGAGTTTAGCAGCTGGGCAGGCAAGCTGATAATGATGATCACTCACTGGACGTGGGTGCACAGGCTCATTTACACAAGATTTAATGACAGCAATACACACGATGCCTTGTAATGATGTATTTCCAAATAAATCTAAGGTCACAGTCGACCTGTCTAACATTAGGGTTGCAGTTGCCACATGCTACATAGGCACATTTTAAGAAACTAGAAGATACGACCTATCAAAATAAATCTCCTACACATAATTAGAGTTGTTCTGCTCAAAGCGTTTCCATTTGGGAATTCCTAACAGACAAAAATTTTATGAACCGCACCTTTCACCCAAATCATAGATGGGCTGATGCTGACCTGGTAGATGTCAAGAGGATGTTTTATATAATAGATTTAAACAAATGTACTGTAGTGAAATCACACATAAAGCCAGCAGTCACATGCTTTAATCTCTTAATGAACAATTCGAATATATTACAAAGTTTGCTTGACCAGACTGCAGCTATACTTGATCGCTAGGTCCACAGCCTGGACTTATATTAAACTGTCGAGATGAAAACTCCAGTTTGTAAATGTTTAGCTTGGATCTCAGCTTACAATTAAAAGGGATCAGATCACACTCCCTGGCAAAGGTTTTGATTCTGTTTATAGCGTTGCAGGATATTGAACAGAACATACTGTACCATTTCCAGGGAATCACGGACCAGGCTGCTAAACTAATCCGAGTGACTCTGAGAAGGCATAACTGTAATGTAACTAACAAAGCATTTAGTAAGCTCGTACGATTAGAAGAATAAGGGCAGGATGAAAAACATTAAAGACTGAATTATGTATTCACAGGAAATGCAAGCTAACGTGAAAGGACTCAGCTAAAAGTGTCTAAAAGCCGAGTAATCTGTGCTGCTCGAAGATTAACGCGGCCACATCGGTGTATTTTCGGACTGTAAACATGCATCCCCATGTGTCCCAATGATAGCGCTTAGCTATCTGTCTAAATATTACCGCATCGTATTACGGTGTAATGCATTCATCTGAAAGAGCACATACCTACATAACAGCATTAGAGAAAACTGTATGTGATTATTTATCATAGGAACTGCACCGAATAGATTACACTGAGTTTATTTCAATGAATGAACTTTCTAATTGAACAAAAGAAATCACCATCTGGTTATGATCTCGTTTTCCATCAGGTGGTGTGATAAGTAATCAAACACAGTGAAATGAACTTTAAGCAGAACATATATAGGAGGACAAATAAAGGGTCATATTTGGAAGGTGTTACTTCTTTTTAGTTGTGCACTTTTAGCCATGTTACCGTGTCATATTAAATAATTCTTTAAATAATTTAAATGGTCTGACAAGTGTAACCAAATAGCACTGATAGACCTTTTCATTATATCTATGCTGAAACAGAACACGTCCAAAGGCAGGTAATGAGGGTTTTTTTTTTTCAACCCTAATCCATTTGAAAACAGTTTAAATGTGGTGAACAGGTTTTATCTTAACTTGTTGTCATTATTTAAAATACAGGAAGGTCTAAAGCAATGCTGCAAACAATTTTTAAATCCTCCAGTATTGTATGAACACAAAGATGTATCACTGTGCAAGTAAATATCACACAGTTTCTACACTTTTTATACCTTTAGTTTTTCTATATTATAGATCATAGGAAATACTAAAGCAAGGTCAAACTCATTTTAGTTTGTGGGAAACACACAGTCCAATTTTTATCTTACTAGTTACCAGAAAAATACAGCTTAATAAACTTTTTGTTGCTGTTTCCTTTTACTGTAAAGACGTTTAAGCACATTCTGAAAATGCTCACATTAAAAAAAATCAAAATAACAAAATAAATCCAAACTAGCAAACTGACAATGAAATAGTTTTTGGCAATTATGTTCAGGTTCAACCACACATCATAGGTTTTCCACATTCAGTATAAAGAAACGCTACTGCAGTAAATCAGTCCAACTTCTTGGGCTTAACAACCACAGTTTGGTGCCATCTGTCAGCAAGGAGGCTGTAAAACTGAATAAATTAGCAGTTTGGACTTTATGCTAAGGATGTAATCCATTCCTACGGATTTGCAACATGTACAAAATAGTATAAAATTCCCTCCTTTGTAGTGTTTGCTCTGTGCAAAGCTATTAATGGAGATAAATTGGACATTTTGGTTGGTCAGATCTCGTGCCAGAGATGTTTGACACCCTGCATCAGCGTAACTTTGTGCTGACATTCATCTCTGTCTAAATAAATAAATAAATACATCTGGGTAAATTCCCAGATGAGTAAACATGCAACTATTTTGCTGGTAATAACTGAAATGAGTAAAGAAAATCAACAGCCTATTTATGCAAGATAATTCATAATTTTATTGGGGGGGGGGGGGGGGGGGGTTTTTTTGTCTGGAAATTACGCCCCTGCCCCTATGTTAAAAGACTAAAGTTAGGCTTGTGGTGAGAGGTTGTGTGAGGTTAATGATGTAAAATGACTCACAACTCAAAAAAAATGCAAAGTGACGACACATAAAAGACGTCTGTGTTATTTATACCCTACTCAGTGATGCCAGGCTGGTCTGTGTCACTGTCTCCCGTGACTTCCTGTAAGCCTCTTTTACATGTTTATCTTAGACAAGATCAAAATAAATCATAAATGAGTAATTATACTGTCAAACCTTCAGCTATCATACCCAAAGTCTGGCATAAAAAATGCACAAACACTAACCAAATGCCGTGCACGTTATTTCATGATGCATAATTTTCAGTTGGGTGATAATACTGCCCTGATTCTTAGACCAAACCTCATAAACCCTGTGTTAGCATTGCTGTTTCTGGCAGTGTCCGGTCACTCTGCCGTGTTACCATATCTGCCGGTGCTGGAACAGACTGCATCATCACTGGCCTTTACCTTATCTATAAATATCTGCACCCCCCCCCCCCCCCCCCCCCGATCGCCTCACCCTGTCAGTCTCTGCTCACACTCTCACTGGTTTTATTTTCCCACCGCTTCCCCCTCTCACCCCCTTTCACCTTTTTTCTCTCCCCAGCCCTGCTCCCTGTGGGTAGAAGGGATGTCTCTCAGGCTGTAATATGTAAATAACACATGACTCATGGATACCAGTCGGGGTATCCATGATCTGGGAAGCTCTAACGGGATTAAAATATAAAGGGGAGCACCACTTCAGAAACACACTGAGGATTTTCTTTTTTTTCCTTCTTTTTTTTTTTATCACCATCAACTTTATTTATACAGTTGCCTCTGCCATCACAGACATCAGTGGGTTGGAAGTGATTACAGTTACTCTGAGTCCCCAGTGCAGAGGAGCCATATGACTGGGTTTGGAGGCCCGCTCAGAGAGGCCAGGCAGTTAACACTACTGGTATCAAATCACAGCAAAGCACCGGAGTCTTGCTCTGGGATCACTCTCAGACTGTGTGACACGTTATTCATAGAGTAGACTGTGTACCAAAAGTCTGGTACACCTGCAAAACTGTCTGAGATTTTGTGCACGTTGATCACATTTCTCGTTTGTCTCCATAGCTTTTAGAAATATGTAGAATTATGCGTCAGGCATAGCAGGACATTATTTAAAGGAAATATTGTGATGCTGAAAAAAAGCTTTGTGATGAATAAAAACTGTCATTCTGCTAAGGTGACAGGGAGACGAGCCCGGAAGGTGGAGGGAGCCGTGTTCTTCGTAAGTATGTCCCGGTTGAAAGTTGGTGTCCAGTCAGTGCCACACCTTTCACCCTGTTTGAACCTCCTGTGATGGCTGTTGATGTGCCTGCATGATCACGGATACTCCCACTCTACTAACCAACGGGCTGACCTAACACATCATCACGTGTGCTGTCATATCGATCCATTCTTCACGTCCGTATTGGCTGCCGAAGGAATATACAGTCTCATAATCACCCTTCACTACACTGAATGTTTTGGTGACTTTGAAAAAATAATAGCAGTTTTTAGATGACATCCTCTCCTGCAGGCTCTGAAGCAACTCTCATGGCGCATCTGAAGCTTTTTCTTTGTTTTAGCAAGTCACAAACCTACTGACATTTGTAACTACGCCAATAACTAAACATCCAGCCTTGAAACCGAGCCTTTTTCAACAGTATCATGTGTGGCTCACTATTAGGAACTGGATTTGTTTGAAAAAAAGAAGTAATGATCTAATATTGTAGTTTGTTAAATATTTATTCTTTGTGGCCTTTAATTAACACCATCTCCCAGTGGGCATTCGTGTTACATCAGAGGTACTGATGGGAAAGATTCTCGTGTTTACAGCTTCTCGAGATGACAACAACTTGAGCTGGCAACTGCTAATCTGATTGTGCTACATCCAACGCTAACCAACAAAACAAAGAGACATGCACATTATAAAAAAAAGATATATTATAGGCAATACTATTTAAGGAGTAAAATTACAGTCTAGAATTTGGCCAAAGACATGATTTTCTTTTGCAGCATTACCTCTGTAAACTGCTACAGTAGATTTTTAAATCCAGCAATATGCAGTTGATGTGCAGACTTTCAGCTTTGATTCAAGGAGTTTAACAAAATCTATGTACGTATGTAAGAATAGAAAATATTTCTATACATAGTCCCTCACCCTCACTTTCAGAGGCTGAAAACCCCTAGATAATTGACTGAAAAGCAGTTTTGTGGCCATCTTTCCCTTGTTTTATACACACACACACACACACACACACACACACACACACACACACACACACACACACACACACACACACACACACACACGATAAATAAAAAAGTGTTAAATTTGCATTTTATAGCTTTACAATGTAATTTTAAATAAAAGGTCAAAGTGAGGGACACCATTATTAGGCTGAAAAAACAAAGTTTAGAGTCAAGAAACACTTTCATGAATGGAAATACAAAGGGTTTACACTAAGGTGCAAAACATTGGTTACACATTAAGACGAAGGCCAGGTTAGACTTTGCCAGAGAGATGGAGCTATCGAAGGTGGATTCAGGCCTGGCAGAGCATCTCAGTGGAAGAAACACAGCATTTGGTGATGTCTAAGGGTTCCACACTTCAGATAGAGTGCAAAAGATTTTCATTGAAGGATTATTTAATGCAAACCTCTTGTTAAACCCCTTGGATTCAAGCTGAAAGCTGCACTTTTGAAGTGCAGACTACGCAGGATTGACCTATTACATTTTTATATTCTTGGACTCTACTAGAGTAGTGTTGCATGATTCACAGTTCAAAAGAATCTTTATTTAGCCCCTCAGTCTATTTAGTGTGTGTAACATGCCATTTTAGCTCCTCTCCCTCACTGTGAGCCAACTTTCTTCTTAATGACTAGTTTTTTAAGACATTTGCCAAATTGATGCAGACCTTCTGCTTACTAACGATACATTTCACTCTGACTAAAACATAAAGCAGATTTTTTTTAAACTTTTCTTCTCTTATTAAGTCAGCAAGAATAACACTCCACATTTTGTCTATTTTTATGCAGTTTTATTTTAACTGTCACTCCACTCTTGCACTCTTGCTCTTCCTTTTTTACTTAGTTTTGCTAAGACAGGCTGTAATTGTCAGAACTCGTGAACTCGTATGCCTGTGTTTGTATACGCTGCCGTAGGTAAATCCTTCAAGATGGCGTCAGGTTTGGAGTCGTGTAATTCATCTGTCATCACATTCATTGTGCTTCACAGTCAGTGTTGATGTTTCATACACTGAAACATATGTGGATCAGAAATGCATTACGACTAATAACAAAAAGAAGAAAACAATGATATTTTTGTATGATATGCATGCACGGAAAACATGTTTTTCAGTTCAGTGGACACAGAAATATAGAAACTGTCAAAATTAAATAGTGTTTCATCAAATCTATCCTTTAATCTGACTCCCATGTGGGATTAAGCCTAGCCAGGTGACGTGTGTGTTAGCAGGTAAGTAGGCAACAGGTCAGCAAGCAGCAGGGTTGTGATGGAAAAGAGGCTAAATGCAGGAACAATGGCACGGCGCACATGTCGGCTTGTGGCCTATTTACAAGTACACAAGCGTCATGGCTGAGATGAGAACAGGCAAACATCTCAATACACAGAATCCAACCCCTCACTCATCCGTGTGGAAACATACTGACTCACAAGCACAATTTTAGACACACTGAAAACAGCTGAAGATCACAGCACTGTATAAACAACAGTAAATATACAGTAAAATAATTAGCATCGGATTTAATCAATACTGCATCAGAACAGTAAATTTAAAAAAAAACCCATAAGCAACACTCCATTTACCCAGTGTCACATGACACACTTTCACACTTTCACATGCACATTAGTGTTCTCTGCATTGGCTGAAACACTTTGCCCCTTCACCCCACTCTTCCCACTACACAGGCACGAGTTCCTCTGCCCACTGTGGGCAATTATTGCCAGTTAACCCAGGAGGAATGCAGCTCCCCCCCGGCAACCCCTAAACACACAGGCCTGAGTGTAAACACACACATTGGGCAACATGAACACAATATGACACCACTGCGCCATCTAGCAGTTCATCTGAGACCATGGAAACAAAACACACATGTACAGACAAAGCTCCAAAGAGCTCTACATACACTGACTCGTTAAAATGGACCTCTCTGTTATTTAGTGAAATATAAAATTGTTGTTTTTCCTTTTTTAAATGTATAGAATCTGAAAAGCATGAGGAAACAGGACGGGAGCGTTGACATTGTATTCTGAAGGTTTGACATTTTTGCCATTCATATAAAGCAGTATGATTCCACACAAATTAAATTCTTATGACCATGTGCAAAGAACTTGGAGTCTTGTTACCTTTGAAGAGGTTTCTTTGAGGACAGGAACTAGGTCTGGGACTTTGGTAAATCACGGTGCTGATAAAACAACAATAAATGTAGTGACTCTGCTCTCAGTTTGCGTTTAAATGGGCTTGAGCTGGCTGTTATGTGCAAACTGTTTGTGATAATATGGTGATTAACTGTGATAAGCTGGCAAAAAAATTTGGAATCTATTGCCATCCACATACAAGAAATTCACATTAAACTGAAATTCACACTGACTAGTTAAATTCACAGACCAGCCAGAAGCTCATACAACAGAATTTCAAGAATCTCTCCACAAGTAGTCACACAGTTGCTGCATGATAGAGATACTGATAGGAACTGTTATTAAATAGGACTATGATTGGAATACAACAGCTTGGAAACCAGTTAAGTTGTTGAGTCGAGCTCCCTGTTGCAAAGAGACACATTGCAAATGACTTGTGTTGATCAGTGCAGACTGGCTCAGACTGCTGCCTACGTTTAAAAAGCAGCAATGATCTGCAAGCCTCCAAATTCTGAATGCCATTGGTCTATTTTCTCCTAGTCATATGAAGGTTTTTACTCTACTGCGGCTCAAACATTACCCTCCAGTTGGTGACTTCCAATAAAAATAAAAAGTAAAAGCAGTAATACTTGGCTAGTTGCGAGGGGACTCGTAGTCCCTGTGAAACTGATGACTGAAGCCCCACTCACACAGGCTTAGACACTCGTCAGGGGTCAGGTTACATCCTGGTAACTATAGGTTGCTAGGGAGAAATGTGGTTTCCCTGACCGCTTGCTGAGTGGATTTGTATTTAAGAACAGTACTAGAACATACTTTTTAGTTCAAAAGCAAATTAAATTGGTGCGTTTGTGCATTTTCCCCCAACTTCTACTAAGACGCTGTTTGACTGTCTTTTTTGCACTGCATGTAAAGCCTGTTTATCCACGGAGCTCATGAGCAGGGAAATTTTCTTGTTAGACTTTTCACGTGTTTGAGGCTAAAAAACACTTTAGGATCTTTAGGATTTATGATTTAGACCTTTGTCACCATGGTTACATTAACATATGTCACTCAGAGTCACAGAAATATGGAAAAATAACAAACAACAAACAGTAGAAACAAATATTGGTCTTTGGTTTGGTCATAATTAATGTTGTAAGGGGTTTTTTGGGGTGGGGGGGGGATTTTGAATTTTTTATATATTTACGAAATTAAATGCCTAAAAATCCATTTGGAGCTTGATTATTTGGCCCTACAAAGGTTCTCAAGGACAGGCTTGCTTTGTGTTGACAGTGCAGGGACAAATTGTGTTTCTTTTAATTCTAGAGGGTAAACACAGGATGGAACTTGTAAGATGAAAATTCAGGAGGTCTGTGTTTACCACTTCTCCTTAATATTGTTTTGTGTCCCATGGTAAATATATCTTTTATATTTTTATTATTTTGTGTTTTGTACTTTTCTCTTGCTTCTGCACAATTCTAAATCTGATCTTTGCAATATTTTCATAATTACTACAGCCACATGAGGCTGAGGTGATATTGAAAGCTAACAACAAGCTGTAATCACGGACTGTATATGAGAGATGGACATATTCTCTGTGTATGAAAAGAGAAGGGAATTTCAAACCTGCACGCTTTCTAAAGCTCCATCCACACAGGAAGTAATTCGCTCATCAGGCTTCGCATTAAAGCTGTTTGGTCATTGGTGGACATACCAGGCTCTGGTAGCCTCTAGTTAACCCTAATGCATTAACTGCAATGTCATATGTGAATCACCTGTATCCTGTGTTCTCATTGGTACACATTTCAGTCGCTTGGCTCGAAGCTGAGATTTTCAAAGTTTCACATGTGACCTGCCCACTTATTTAGAAGACAGTCACTTGAAGTTGCGTAACAGCTACTACAGTAGGTATGTACTCTATTGGATTTCTCAGATTTCCACTTCTTGCTCAAGATGGTGACAGCCAAAGTCTGAGGTTTTAATACGAGAGATTATACACATCCACTTTTATATATACTCAGTGCTCTTAAGCCCAATTTCTTGCTTTTATATATCTGTATGTTAAATTGTTTTCTATAAATGTTGAAATTATTAGTTTAACTTCATATGTGCATATTGTTATTAGTAACTCTTAATTTAGAATTGCTTTTATGAGTGCACCATGTTTAGTTTAACTGCAGTTTGTACTTTTTCTATTATAAAGGGATTTTGCCAACTAGATACTCTATTCTATGAAATTACATTATAATATCAAACAGCTTTAAAATTCACCCAAGATAGCACATTCTTTCATCTATATTCTTAAAAAACATAAAGAGACAGTTCCATAAACTCAAACAGTCACAATGTGATTGAAGTGAAGACTTCCAGCTCTAATTCAATAGTCATGAAATTGTCTGATTACTTTTCAGCCTCTGAAAATGGTTTTAATTCATAAACAGCTAATGCTGTACCTGTAAACAATTTTTGTGAGACTACATAGTTGAGTTTCTGAATATACATAGCCTTCATTCTCTATCACTCGAAATGACTCCTGTAATGTAATGGCATTCAAAGAAGTTAACATCGATAGCATTTAACACACTGATGTGAAGATAACAACAATAGACCAAAACAGCACGCACTCTTTAAATAACGGGCACGCATTCCTCTCTGTGTTTCCCATTAACCACCTATAACTTATCATTACTGTTCAGTGGTGTTCTCTTTTTTTGTTCATCTTTATCTTTCCATTGTCCACCTTGACTTTGGTTTTCTGCAGCCGAAGCCAGAGAACGCAGTGACCGTAGCTGTTTCCTCTCGGGTCCTGTTCCGGACTGAGCGGGAGCAAAAGGTGTTTGAGCAGCAAGGTGTGGAGGAATATCTGAGATACCAAATTGAACATGAGAACGAACCCTTTGCTCCTGGGCCTGCTTTCCCCTTTGTCAAGGTTAAAGTCACACAAGCACACGCAGATGTTATTTTTTAATTCTTAAATTCTTTTTTGGTCTTGATTTTTCTCAGCTGACTGTTTCTCTGTCTTGACAGGCTCTGGAGACGGTTAACGCTCGTCTGCGAGAGCTGTACCCCCAAAGTGAAGAACTGTTCGACATCGTTTTAGTAACATATAACCATGCCCACGTTGGAATCCGGCTCATCAACACCATCAACCACCACAGTAAGCCTAAAAACTGTCAGTGTACGCCACTGAAAATGAATTACTCGCCCTACGTGGCATTATTAAAAGATGCTATGCAGCAGACAGAGTTCTCAGTTTAAATAGCTTCCTGTCATGGGATAACAGTCCATTGATAGGTCAATTATATATCTGAAATTTCAAGCACCCACACAGACACTATCAGTTTGACAAGCTTATTATCACACTCTCCATGTTGCCAATCTGAACTATGCCCACCGCCCCCCACATCATGTCTTTGAAATCAGAGTCTTTAAAGACCTCATTTGGTTTATAATCAGGAGAAAAATATAATGTGCTCAGATCTGCTGTATGCAGTAAGTAGCTATCAGCCATTTTTCTTTATGTCCATGACAGTGCTGACACAGGAATTGGAATCACCTCTCTTCATATCATAGGTAATAACTGCAAACCTTGAATTTTGGACCAAAACTGACTTTTGTTTCCGCGCAAACTCCATTGTGTGATTCATTAGCAATAACAGTAACACGTTCCAAAGCAACATGTTACTGTTATCACATAAAATTTTTCAGCAACAGAGTAATATAACACATTACTGCACCAATCAGAATCTGTAATTACAGTCACAGCAATGCCTTGACTTATGTTACAAATGTTTTTTAGTTATCTGCAGAAAAGAAAAAAAAAATCAAACAACAGGCCTTTTTTCTTCGTTTTCAGTTTGCATGAGGAAGGAGGAAAATAATGGGAACTGTGTCCACATCAGAAACAAGTACATTATGCTGCTAACTTCAGCTCTTTGCAAACATCTGCACACTAACTAATGCTAACGAAAGCTAACAAATCCCCAGATTGATGCTAAGGCTGAAAGGACACTTTACCATTACTTTGCTTTTAGCATTGCTTTCTGACAAGTAGTTAAAGAACATTTTTCTTAAGAACAGTAACATTTAATGTTCATCTGCTAACCCACCAGCTTGTCCCAGTTGTACAGAGATTGCAACTCTATTTTTACTCTGCTGTTACCGAGGCCTAAGACTGAGTTATAATTAGGAAAGAAGGAGTGAGGATGTTGGAGTATTTTGACATTTACCTTCAAAGCTGCATCACGTTTTGAAGACCTCAAGTGGGCATGACAGAAAGGTTGTAGGGGATTACATTCTGACATTTGAGGGCCTCGAGGGGATTGTGTGTCAAGGAATCTGGATAATGTACAACCATGTGTCCTTAAAATTTCTTAATCAGTTAGATAAGCAAAGGCATTTATACAGGGTGGCAGTAGCTCAGGAGGTAGAGCATCATCTACTGATCGGAAGGCTGGTGGTTCAATCCCTGGCTCCCCCTAGTCTGCATGCCAGATATCATTGGGCAAGATCATATTCATACTCCATTGCATCGGAGTGCGAATGGTAGTTGCTGTCTCTGTCTTTTCTCAGCAGTGCGCACACATGGAGCAACGTTTACCTAAAAGCACAGAAGACAGTGCATGTGTGTTTTATAGAGTACTTTGAGAAAGTAAAAAGGTGTGGATGGTAGAAGCAAATGTTAGAGCATGATCAGGGTTAACAACATTCCTGTGAGGTGAAGTTATTATCAATGATGAGAGGTACGGTGGAAGATGTTTTTTAGAAAAGAAAAATAATAAATAAATAGCATTTGATGTGTGTCAGTTAGAATCTTTAGTTCAACCAAGGGACAAAAAGAAAAAGAAAAAATACTGACGTGACAAAAAGCTAAATAATTATACTTAGTTTTCCTCCAAAATATAAGTTTAGGGCTGCTGCTGATCAATCACAACTTTACTAAGTGAAGCAGGTAATCCCTGTATAACTTTAAAAAATAGTCTATAAATGCATCTGCTTTTTTCTGGGGTTTTTTCTCAGTTTAATGCTTCCAATAAGAGCACGCTTTCCCACTAACGTCCAAACCCAGCACCCAAAAGCACGCACAGTTGCATCCATACATCATCCAGAATCTGACGCAGGCTCAGCTGAGAGACAAACAGTGGAGTGTATGAACAGCTGACTGACAGGATCCTTCCCAGGGAAACTCTCAGACCCCGTGATGACATCCCTCTCACAGACCACTTCCTGTTCAGTTGCTCTAATGTTTTCAGATCCTCGGGGCTTCATGACGGGAGTGGGTTCAAGCTTATTTCCCTTTGGGATGTAAGAATAATCCAAGAGGCCCGAAACAAAAACAAGTCTGAGCGAAGCCACCAAAGCAACACTCGGCCTTCCAGATGCCTCCATGTTAGAGCCTCTCTGGTGGCTCTATGTGAGGCATTCAAACAGTCGCTTGACCTCTGAGCGTTCCTGCACACATAAAGGAAACATGGCTTCTCTGATAACATTGATAAGTGTTTCATGAGCATCTTTCCTGCAGTGGGTCTCTCTGAGTAGCAAAGCCGTGTTAAAAAGATTGAGGATCATTTATTCTAGCTTGAGACTGGATGTGCGAACTGGACGTGTTTATTTTTGATTATCAGCGCACCCAAACTTTTTTTCGAGGCAGAATCAAGTATTAAATTCCTGCACTATACACCTATGAATAATGGACGTGTGCAGGCATACACCTGACTTCTATAGGGGCAGAATTCTACCTTAGCTTGTAGCTTGTTCTGGGTGCTCTGCAGTGTCTTTTCAGTCATGTTGATTTCCTGTTTTATTACCATGTTTCAGATGTTTTGAACAAGCAAATAAATCATGCAAAGAAGATAGATGAAAACATTTTTCTTAATAGACAGGGGAAAAAGATACAAGAACGTCAATGGCAAGCATATTTTCCCTCGAGTGACTCCCACGCTCCTGCACCAGTCTGAAACACAGGATGAGGTGCGGTACAGCGTAGGGGAAGGGGAGGGGGTCAAACTCACCAGGGTCTGACTACAAAGCTAAATAAACCATTAAGAAAATCTTCAGAGGACAGTTGGTTCTTTGAGTAACTGAGAGGAGATTACTCAGGGGGCTTAAAGCAACACAGTTCCTCTGTTCCTTCTGGAGTCCAGCTCGTTTTGCCTAGAGCCTGATTATGAGTCACACTACATTTATCTGCCTTTGTTTCTTTCATGTGTCTTTAAAAGTGAACTTCACATTTTGAACTGATTACCAGAACAGCAACAGGCAAGGTTTATACATACAAATGTAGCCACCAAACTGCACAAAAATATCGAACTTTGCTTGTTTCAGCCTGAAGAATATTCGCTTTGTCCGCCTGCTTGTCCGTATGTTCTGTATTCAGCACAGAGCTGCACCTGCCTGGTTTGCCTCAGCATTTACTCCTATATTAATATTACATTATTATAGTCGACAGTGGGCTCTGCAAATTATTCGCAGTGGGGTATATATTTTCCCACATATTTTCCCAGTTCTTTGGAATGACGTGGGATAAACTTACTGAGCCTATAATACATTGAGGCAAAACTTGATCAAAGTTTTTTTTATATCCAGCTAAAAAACAAACAAACAAACAGACATTTCTTATCAGCTTGGACTCATGAAAAAATGGAAAACTCAAGAAAGAGCATCTATTTGCTCATGTACATGGACGTCAGTTGTTTTGTGTTTTTGTAAGGTCTCAGTTCCACAGGCCTGGAGATGGATCAGTGATATCCTTTAACCTCAGGTTGGCAGATGGTTGCTGATGGTTGCTGGCAGTCTCCAAGCAAAATTTATTTAAAAAGAAAGGTTTACAAGCAAACCAGAAAGGGAGAATGTTCACCGTTGCTTTGCACTTTTCACAGTTTAACTACTGCTTGGAGAGTAGTTTGAGAGTGTTGCATCAGTCTACTAGCATCTATAACAAATCCAAAAATGTTTTTGATCTGCCACCTGTTTTGTGCCCAATTTTCACCTGAGAGCGAGGAACCTCCAGCAACCACTTGCCAACCTATTGGGGGATACATGTTTTTACCTAGAAAATAGAAGTTGCCCGGGTGTTATCAACTGATCTGTAGGTCTGTGTGACTGAGGCCTTAGACCAGGGATGGCAAACTCATTTAGCATCGTGGGCCATGTAGATAGTCAAAAAACACCAATAGAAAATTTGGTAGAGAAAAAACCCAGAGACTTTTCTGTCATCAAATTGTTTAATTGATACCTAATTACTTTGCTGTATGAATATCCAAGAGGGAGGTCTTTATCAGTAAGAAAAGGTAAAAAACTTGTGAAAATACAATTAAAAGTCCAAGTCTTCATAGGACGTTTCTGGCACCCGGACCTGGTGATGGACACAGCTGCCTTAGACTTAGCACAGCTTTAACCTCCTAGGACCTGGCGTCCATATATGTGGACATCACATTTTGGGTTGTCTAGACCAGATTACTAAATTTTGCTCTACTTGGGCCTGATATGCACTTACGGGGACATTATAATGCCATTGTTCTATCAAAATTTAAAACGAATGTCCTCATATGTGGATATCAGGCCCTTGTAGAGTAAAATCAGGTAAAAACATCATTCTTTGTTTTTACATTCATGAGGTCCCAATCAGCCCAAACAGCAAAGAGAAATTAAAAATGCTTGCTACGAAAGAGTTCGGGTCTTCCCTGCTGCAGCATGTACCGAGAACATTTTAAGCCATCTTTTGTTATTTTTGGAGCAGTTACAACATATAAGCATTTAGATTATACCCTGCTTGGAAAAAAAAAGTAAGGGAAACTCTCTAATCAGAGTATAACACAAACTCAGTTAATATTCAAGCTGTCCAATTACTGTATCCATATCATCTGCTTTAGAGCAAATCAAATGTGTGTTTTCACTTGCAGCTGACTTTTTACACTAAAGGTCAGTGAGTACAGCGTAGACTGGAATAACAGTTAGCTTTGCAGCGTTACAGTCTCAGAAGGTCATTAGCTGCTGCAGTTTAGGCTCTAAAATGACAATTTTACAACATATAGAAGCAAATTACATGGAGTAGGAGTTTTAATGTACTCTGATATTTTATTTGCCTCTTTTAAGTTCCCAAACGTTGTGGAAGCCCTGTGCTAAAAAAGGCCAGTGGACCTTTATTGTGGATGAAGATAAATTCATGCCTCAGCGATTGCAGCTTTAAATAATTGGAATAACCTTCCCATTTCTCTTTTTATAAATCTCCCGTCCACACTAACCTCCTCCTCTTACTTCATCTCCATATATCTTAGGTGTCGCCTACCTTTTCATTCTATTATGACCTTCAACTCTAATCAAACTCAATCCATCACCAGATATTACTCTATTTTACTCCCGTGCCCTTTCTAATAGCCCCCCATCCTCTTCTCCCTCATAAATACCAGCTCATTTTACCCAAGGACACAGATATAATCCGCAGATCTGTACTCGTGGATCTAATTACCTAATATCAGTCTCTTCTCATTTTCCACATACTGACTGTCCACTGCTCGGTGGATCAGTCCACAGCAGCGAATTAAAAGGCCTCCCAAGCCAAAATGTAAACAGACACTTTCCCACCAAGTCTTTTCGCTTCCTCCTCTCATCTGCACAGCCTCCGTCTTCCCGCCCTTCTATTAACCCCCTCTCTGGACCCTCTCCATGTTTTAAGTACTTGTAAGTTTATCCTCTCACCATGTCTTTAGAACATCTTCGCTCCTTTTTGCCGTCCACGGCCCCCGAAGTGACCCCTTCGTGAACTCCCTGACAGTCAGAGCCCCAGCTTCTAGTGGATTATATAAGCGACTTTTTGAAGTCATGCGGTGTTTGCTGGTATGCTAACATGCAAATAGATACATTTATCAACACTGTAATGGATCTGTAATGCTGATGATGGACTGAATGCTGACATTTAACACCAGATGATGTACTGAAATTAAAAACCTTGTTGCTATTTGTTCCTCTCATCCACAGACTTGTTCATTGAGAGGTTTTGTATGACGGGGGGAAGCAGTCCTATTGGCTACCTGAAGGCCTGGCAAACCAACCTCTACTTGTCTGCTGATGCCAACAAGGTTAGGGAGGCGCTGACTGAAGGTAAGGCCAGTCCTGCCACAAAGCTGAAAAATACTTAGAAGTTACTAAAGTTTACAGCTTTTTCTACGTTTCACACCAGATTTTTTTTTTTGCATTATGTGACTCTTATATAATAATGATTGAAAGCTGTAGCACAGGACTTTTACAAGCTAATAAATATCTGTTTATAAGCATTTTTAAAAAAGAGTTTACACAGTGTTATTGAAGTATATCGTTACCTCGTGACTCTGTATTTTGCACAGTTCTAAACCTTCTGTCTTTCATTGACTGTATATAAAAGATGGCCATTGTGTCGTACTTTATTAGTTTTGGATTGCTCATTTTGAAGCGTTAATGCTAGCTTTTTTCCCCCGCCATTTTTTTGTGTCTCTGTTTGTGTGTGTGTGTGTGTGTGTGTGTGTGTGTGTCAGAAGTTTTGCATGAAACGGAGAACCAGCTTGACAGCTAAAGCTTGTCAGCTTGGTGAGCAAGAGGCATCCATAAATGGTGGAAGTGTTAGTAAACAGTTGACCTTTGCTCCAGGAGGGACAAAGGGCCTAACCAACCACCTAAACATAAACCATAAACTGTACGAGTGCAACACACAAAGATGGCTGCTAACTGGTAGTAAGTGATGGATAAAAAAAAGACTAGAAAATTCTCTTGCAAATATTAAAGCACAAACGTCTTGCTGGACCACACAGCAGATCATATTGGAATTAATATTCTAAATTCCATTAAAAAGTGCAAACAGCACAAAAATTTAACTTGAATTAAAGTAAAATGAGGTCTAATAAACAGTGATTGGACCAGAGACCAATACACAGGACTATCAACATGCTTTTTTATTTTTGCATTTTAAGATGGGATTTAATGGGGATTAAATGGCTTTTGGAACGGGGCCTCTTGTAGTCCTTAGATTAACTGCAGATTTTGTCACCTCAGCATTAACCTAATTTTCCAGTCGTAGAGCGTGGGATGATTGGTTTACCAGAAAAATTAGGATCAACTAAAACAGGAATAGAAAATTGAGGAATCTCCTGAGGATGGGCTACTGAATAACCACTAATCACCAGAGAGGATTACATTAGTACAGCATTTGGTTTATGTTCATATAATTACCATCCGACTATAGTGGAAGACAAAAGAATTCAGATCTGAGAACAGTAGATGGCAGTGATCGTGCTTGTATTTGCCTCCAAATATGGGGTGCATTGCCACAATAAAAAAATATATTTATGCATGCTAGTATCCTGGTGTCCTCCTAGAGATCGGAGTAATTTAAATGGAGTAATCCAGTTATATGTTTTAGACATTTAGAAAGTCTCACAGAAGCAGTTTAGCATACAAATTAAAGGCAAACCAGTAGCAACAAGTCGTACACGGCACTCACACACTCCGTTACTTCAGCTTTATTTTGATCAGGGAAATGTGTCCGAAGGAATGCCTTCAGGAAGCTTTCGTGCCTCACATTTAATTAAATCGTCCTTCTGAGGAAGCTTGATCTTGAATTCTTTTCAAAGCACATGTAACCGCACTAGTTGGTTTGGCCTATTTGCATGCATTTTATTTACATGTAGTTTCAGCACACTTGACCTTTTCCAAGCTGGATAACAAAATCTAGTTTTTGAAAGTCTTTCCTTTTTTTCAGACACAGATAGAAATGTTTTGAAATATACAGGTTCAAGTATGATTTGAAATTCATAGCAATAAAAAACTGATCTAATCCCTAAATCATAAATCCCCCCATATATATCATGTCATACATAGAAAAACTACAAAGCAGCCTGCACACACACACACACACACACACACACACACACACACACACACACACACACACACTGTGCTAGGAGTGTACATTGTTTACGGTGTGTGTATTTGCATAAGAAGTAGCAATGACATCTTCTGCAGTGCTGCTGTGACTTTAGTCTTTGCACTCTATTTGATGGTTTCCATGGTGCCATGGCACCGTGAGGGGTTACCAACATCCTATTTGTTGTAGCTTTGGCTAATTTGTGTCACAATTTGAAGTCACTGGTCATTTTCTGCCAAAGAAATAAGAGCCATTAAAATGCAACGATGGAAAATTTGTGGGACTTGAGGTGACAACCACATCCAACGATTTAAATCCCTTCTGTGCAGCGAATTTCATGCTGCATTATTACTGCAGCCAACACAGAGGAGGTTTTTGTGACACAATCTGTGTCACTGGGTGTATAAACTTGAGACAAATTTAAGGAAAATTAACTGGCTGTGTAAAGCTTCAAGTGGCTATGGTTTAAGTTCTGTCGCACAGTAAACCTTCTCTGGAGCATGTAAGAAATCCACAAGTGCAAAATGAGTGCCTACTGACCAATCAGTTTGCCAGAAAGTCGCATCACCATTTCTGGAAGATAGTGAGACGTTTTTCTTTCCCGACAAGCACTGAGAGGAAATATAATAGCTCAGGAGCAACATTACTCATAGCTTGTTTTTCCCCGTTGGCCTCAAGTAGCAAATCAGTTTTATTTTTCTATCAGCCTTAACATAGAAATGTAATCCCAACACAGGATGGTCTAAGCCATGCACTTTATGACCTTATATAAAATTTGCAGATAAACCCACTTACTGGTTTGAATTCTGTTTTAATCTTTGCTCTTTGTTTGCTCTCACATAGTTTTAACCCTGCTGGGTTGCAGCTGAAAGAATTCATGAATTTTATCTGAGACTTAATTATGGGCTGTCTGTAAATGGACTGCGTTTATCCACCACTTTTGCAGTCTTTCTGACCTCTTGAAGCACTTTGCACTACAGTCACATTCACATATTAATACAGCAGGTTTTCACAAGGTGTAGAGCTTTCAGCTGTATTGTGTTTAACCTCACGTTACAATTTTCGTTTTGTTTGTAAAATATCCGCTCCCAGGAGACCTGTGCATGCTTGTGATTGGTCATTTGTTGCAAACGTCACCCTCTTCATGTGCACACACATGCTACTTAGGGCATGCCACGTTGATGACTGGGAAGGCCACAGAACAATATAACCTAAAGGGATCAAGGGTTTCCTTTAACTGTCAACCATCTGTAGCTGTCAAGGCATCTCCAGGGGCTTTCTTCATGTCATTTACAAGCTTCGTGCCAGTAATGCCGCACCTCTGTGGGAGGCAGCTCCTCAAAAACACAGAGCACATAAGCAGTGGAGCAAAGGAAGTGGTTCTGACATTTTACTTGAAAGCTCTTAATTAGCTGTAAATCCATTTGTTAATACTTCCTCTGAGTGTTAGAGCATGTTTTTAAGGACTGCGGCTATGAAGGTGACAGTTAAAACCTTCCTGATTTGTTCTGTTTCTGGCAGGAAATGAAAGAGAGCACAGAATGAAGTGAAAGATGCTTTTTTGCACCTTAGAAAATCAAAAGATTTATTTGTGAACTGAAGTGACGTTTAAAAGCTGATTTTATCTAAACAAGCGATGTCTCTGTTTACTTGATTCTCAACCACTCAATATGCAAAAACACTGTTTAGAAAAATTAAAGGAACACTTTTTTTAATCCGAGTGTAGCACCAACTAAATTAAGATGCCTTGCTGTGTCTCCCAGCACAGTCTCAAGAGCATGGGGAAGATTCCTGGAGACAGACAGCTGCTTTAGAGCCCTTAACCCACCAGCAAGACTGTTATTTGCTTCTTTGTGCAAGAAGTAACTGGATGAGCACTGCCAGAGCTACAAAATGACCTCCAGCAGGACACTGGTTTGAATGTCTCTGACCAAACAATCAGAAACAGACTTTATGAGGGTGGCCTGATAGCCAGTGGATCCTGTGCTCATTGCCTGGCACCGCGGAGCCCAGTGGGCATTTGCTGTAGAATATCAGAATTAGCAGGTTTACCGCTGGCACCCTGTGCTTTTCACAGAGAGAGAACAAGTTCACCCTGAGCACATGTGACAGACATTAAAGAGTCTGGAAAAACTGTGGAAAACGTTATACTGTCTGTAACAACGTTGGTCTTTCAGTGATGGTCTGCAGAGAGATATCCATGGCAGGTATACCGGCTAGGTAATTGCAGACTGGCTGCCATTAATATTAGGATGAAACCCTTGGATCTTTGTCAGGCCCTACACTGGTACACTAGGTCCTGGGTTCCTCAAGGTACAAATGACAATGCCTGCTCTCATGTGGTGAGAGTATGCAGGAGGTTCCTGAAAGATTAAGAAATTGATATCCTTGACTGGCCCCCAGTTTACTTCAAATTGTCCAGGAGCTCTTTGATGCTCTGATCCAGATCTTGGGGGAGATCCTCCAGGACACCATCCATCATATTATTAGGAACATCTCCCATGAGCCTGTGGGGGCCATACACACTATTCAGTACCAGTTTGAATTGCTGCAATGAAATTACAGGAAAACAGACTAGCCATGAACTGAAACGTGAAGTAAAGGAAGCAAGACAAAATATCTGATAGGGAAGGCAACTCCTGACTCCCTCTAAAGAAGAAATGCAGAGAGTCCAGTTAAGAATTAAGTGAAGGAAGTGAAGGAATGAATCATAATGTACTAATGTTAAAAACAAATGAAGTATACAAACACAACTTCTCTTTAGCTGTAATTAACTAAGTGATAGTTGAGCCCTTTATTGTCTTATGCATTTGTGTTCAGGCATCGCAGCAGCCACAATGTTCATGCCGGAGAAGATGACAGAGGTATCCGAGTCCCAGCTAAGAGTGGCATTTGATGGCGATGCTGTCCTCTTCTCAGATGAGTCAGAACGCATCTTCAAGGCCCATGGGCTGGACAAATTCTTTGAACATGAGAAGGAAAATGAGGACAGGCTACTGGACCATGTTTGTATTCTTTAATTGAATTTCTTTGCATTGATTTTTATTCTATTCAGTTTTATTTATAGCGCACCAAATCACAACAACAGTGACCTCAAGGTGCTTTCTATTGTAAAGACCCTACAATAACAGAGAGAAAACATCAACAACAGTTTAAACTAGCACTTTAGCGACAGAGGGAAAGAAAAACTTCCTTAGCATTAGCTTCCTTAGGATTAGCAATTAGCTTGGAGCTTAGAAGGTTAATACCCAAGGCTAAATTTCAAAGAAAAAGAAAAGAAAAACTAACTGCAGATTACACACACAATATCCCAGACTGAGATGACTCCAAAGAGTGTAGCAATCCTTAAAAACATTATATTCTTCCTAACATTATCTTTTCCAAGCAGCCTCAATGATGAGCGTGCATATGGTCTCCACATGAAATCCATTTCAGTAACTGATTATTCGATGAATATATTATGCAAAATTAAATGAAATAATAAATTGTTTCTAAAGACTGTCAGTTGACATGTCATTCTCCTTGACAACCAGCAATTTCAGAAATTAGCAGTGCATACCTCACGCTGTGCAACATTACAATAAAATGGTGCTAGCTCAATCAGGGTTTGTATGTGTTACATACACATAAAGCTGATGCGTGACAAGTCAAAGATGAGTCAAATCTTAACATATATACAAGAAAACAGATAGCAGGTCCTCACTAGCTTTTCCTCTTTGGCAGGGTCCCCTGAAGGGCTTCCTAGAGGCACTGGGGAAGCTCCAGAAAAAATTTTACGCTAAAGGCCAGCGTCTGGACTGCCCTATCCGCACCTACCTGGTCACAGCTCGTAGTGCAGCAAGTTCTGGGATTCGGGCTCTCAAGACACTTCGGGCCTGGGGGCTGGAGATCGATGAGGCCTTGTTCCTTGCAGGAGCACCAAAGGGCCCTATGCTTGAGAAGATAAGGCCACACATCTACTTCGATGATCAAATGTTTCACATAGAGGGAGCGGCAGAGATGGGTACCATCGCTGCACATGTTCCCTATGGCATTGCACAGAAACATAACTCCAAGCACAACACCAGCGCAGGGAAGTAGACAAAAGGACTTTGGATGTTGGTGACCTGGTAGAGGGAGGGGATATTATCTTAGGACAAAAACAAAAAGTTGTTAACTTAAACTCCCGGAGAGCAGCCATTTGGCTTTTCTACCTTTAAAACCCGGAGAGCAGCCAAATGGCTGGTAGGCTTTTAGCTAAGCTTTAGCTTCAGCCAAGTGGAAGCTAAATTGGCTAGTCATTCATATGTAAATTAGGTTGTTACCTGGGAATTCTGGAGGGAGGGGAGTGGGGGTGTGTGATGAGGGGGTGGGGGAGCTGCTAAAAGCTGTGAACTTCCTTTTGTGTTCGTCTTGATGCATTCTCAATCATCCAGGGAAATAAATCTCCAAAAGTCACCAACTTGGAGTGTTTCAGTTTGCCATCTTAGGGAGAAATCAACACACATGGGTGTATGTCCTTTGTTGCTGAGATTTATTGATAAAAACAGTACAAAAAACCAACCATTTGTACACATATTTACAAATGGCCTGCTGAGTGGTGCACGGAGCATGTTCATTGGTTCATGGACCTCCCTGAACTAATGGCATTTATTGCAATTGTCATCTTGCGGGGGGTTAACAGGGTTCCATCTCTAAATGACTGCTGGTCAGCAAACCTGGGAAACCCACAGATAATTGGAACTATGGCACGAAACCGCTTCCAAGACATCATGCAACACCTACGCTTTGATGACAAGTCCACCCGCAGTGATCGAGCAAAGACTGATAAGTTCGCTGCAATTTCCAGTGTGTGGGGATCATTTGTCACCAACTGCATCACGTGCTACAACCCTGGTCTACATATCACCGTTGATGAACAGCTTTTCCCATCAAAGACTCGGTGCTGTTTCCTGCAGTATATTGCAAGTAAACCTGACAAGTTTGGGATCAAGTTTTGGGTGGCTTGCGACCTAAAATCCAAGTACATTTGCAATGTCTTCCCATATCTTGGCAAGGACCCCAATCGTCCCACTGGGGAGAGACTTTCTGAAAATGTAGTAATGAGAGTTGGCTCACTCTCATGTAGCTGGGAAGAAGGCAAGAAAAGAACAGTTGCTTTGGACACAACCCTCCACACCTAGCACTGGAAAAAGAGCCATGTGTCAAGATGACAATTGCAATAAATGCCATTAGTTCAGGGAGGTCCATGAACCAATGAACATGCTCCGTGCACCACTCAGCAGGCCATTTGTAAATATGTGTACAAATGGTTGGTTTTTTGTACTGTTTTTATCAATAAATCTCAGCAACAAAGGACATACACCCATGTGTGTTGATTTCTCCCTAAGATGGCAAACTGAAACACTCCAAGTTGGTGACTTTTGGAGATTTATTTCCCTGGATGATTGAGAATGCATCAAGACGAACACAAAAGGAAGTTCACAGCTTTTAGCAGCTCGCCCACCCCCTCATCCACACACCCCCACTCCCCTCCCTCCAGAATTCCCAGGTAACAACCTAATTTGCATATGAATGACTAGCCAATTTAGCTTCCACTTGGCTGAAGCTAAAGCTTAGCTAAAAGCCTACCAGCCATTTGGCTGCTCTCCGGGTTTTAAAGGTAGAAAGGTAGAAGCCTGGGGGTGCTACTGTTAAAGTAAGATTCAGATGATGAACTTTTTCTATTTTTTAACTGTATGGAAGTACATGTTTGCTTGACCACAGTATCTACTGCCTCGGCTTAGTGCTACTACTTTAGGAGTCAGATAAGAAATCTGGATAAAGGTCAACAACAGGTCTGGAACCTGAGATGACCCAATAACCAAGGTGTCCAAAAACAAGTGTTTCATTAAATCATGCTTTGGTTCTTGACTAAGTATTTGACAAGGAATGAACAACTGAATTGTTTATATATATGTAACAGTGCACTGAATGTTAATAAATGAACTGTGAGCACAATGCAGAGATATTATATTGTTAACCATTATGGTGATGTACTATATGAAAGTAATAATTTAAAGTTTTGTCAAACATTTTATAGTTTGATTACACACAAATGTAAAAAGATTAGGGTGCAGCTGTACAAAATGTGCTGTATATTACTGAAGCATTCAATGCCATCTGTTCTTGTGTTCCAAAATCCAAATCAAATATAGAAAGCCATTTGGTGCCTTAGGAGTGGAATTATAGTTCTCTTGGGTGAACACAGGCAGGAGGGCACAGACGGTTTGTTTTATACTTCAGTGAAATATGTTTCTAACTGTTTTAACCCCACGTGGCACCTGACAGGATCTTAGACACTGTGATGTGTTTTTATCCAAAATACCCTCCACTCCTTTGTATTTGGAAGTATTTTAACTATAACAATATTTGAACTACTGTAATGTGGAGTGATACGAGAAACTCGTGGGAGCTTTGGCTTTGCATGATGCTTCACAGCTCAGAGCGGTTCAAATGGTACATAATTAGCATGCTATATTGATTGATTTCTTTTCTTTTTTTCTTAAAGATTTGTGTCTTTTTTTTTTTTTTACTTTTTTTTAGAGAGGGTGAAGAACAATGGAAAAGAGAGATGGATGAGATATGCAACAAGTTGCCCCTGCATACCACATACATCACAAGTAATGTATGTGGTATGCAACTTAACCAATAGTGACCACACAGTGTTATAAATATATTACTGTAGCAAAGAAACCATGTTATTTACATTTATAGTTGCAAACTATGGCTGTATGCTCTAGAAGTTGCCTTTAGTTTCAATGAATGTATAACTTACAGCCAGTTATGTTGTATGGCTTCCATGACGTTTTATGCAATCCCATAAATGATAGAAAACCAAAGTAAAACTTGGCAATTACATGTTAAAACCTAAGCTTGTTAAGGCTTTCACAGTTCATGGCATAGCTAAATGGAATTTCGATCCGTTTTAGCTGATATGTAGCATGCTAAAGTTTACCATGCTAGCATGCTAAAGTTTACTGTGCTAGCATGCTAAAGTTCCCACAAATATGTGATCCTAAGGAGGTCTTAGTCTAACAAAACACTGACTTAACTGAATGAACCTGAGTTTTACCTTCATATTTAACCAGTGGAGCAAGTGTCATATTTTTACAGGTTTGCTAACATAAGAGATTTTTGAAAGCTAGGTCTTTTGCTAATATTCCAACTAGAGCACACACGTTATAGGTAGACATAAGCCGTCAATCTTGGGTTGAATTCTCTGTCTTGTATACCCAGGTGACTTTGTTTAATGGTGTAAAGTTTCACCATCATAACTCCATTTCTAAATTGTAGTTAGAGAATCTTGCTAATGTTTGATAGAAAAATATAAATGTTTCTATTATAGACAAAATCCCTGCAGTGACCTTTAGAAAATGCCAGTCTACTTCGCATGACTCTACTTGTAACCAGTGTATAATTAGAGACGCATCATTACGCTCAATCAGTCTTCTGAGTACCACGGGGTTCAGAAAAGTGACAAGCAACCCGCAGGTTTAACCTCACAGGCAACACACATACAGTAATTAAACAGATGTGTCTCTTGGCAAACTAAAACAACTGCTGACTTGTGAGCTGATAAAGTTTCAGCACGACAAGCTAATCAGGGAACTCTGGGCTTCAGGGTGACATTCAGTTTCAGCTTGAACAGATTCAACAGCACTTTGATAACTGCTTTATTGAAGGATTTGCAAAATTAAGAAAATGTAAATGGACAATAAATAAAGATTACAATTGAAGTATTGGCTTTATTTTAATTTGTTTGTGAAAACTGATATAGATTACATGGATCTGTTTGTTCAGTGGCATGCACTCCTTCAGTCCACCATGGAGTGGCAGCATCGCACCACGGTGGAATGATTGATGAGCTGCAGCAGCAACCGCTCTTCACTCAGCGTAATGATGAAGATGGAAAGAAGCGACCACTTCGCTTTGATTTAACAGCTCCATGCACATAAAAGTTATCCTAATTTATGTCAGTTTTTTAATCTTTGCATCCTTTATTATTATCTTTTTGTGACAAATCCTCCCTTTCTCCATCTAATTTATCAGTCTTCACACTGAGCAGAATCACATTACGACCCACACTTTCATCCACATATCTATGATAAATGTGCTAATATTCCCAATATGGTTCATACCCAGCTGAATTTGATCTTTCCAGCAGAGTGATAAAAGCCACAGAGAGCCAACATCCAGCACTGGACTACCTGGCACTATATCGCTAACAGCTCCACAGGGATGGGCTCAGGTGAACGCTGACGGATTGACATCGACATGGATTTTATAAGCTCCAAATCAGCTATGAGACAATGTTGTTGGCAACCTTTTTGGTGAGATAGTAGGGACAGATAGATCAGACAGATTTCTCTGGCCAGCTGGCACACACTGCAAAGTCTATGCACATTTAATGACACATGTGTAAGGCTGCCAGCTGTATTCATAAACAGACAATAACCATCAGTGTGGAAGGAGACGAGTGAAAGAGGATGACTCTGTGCTCTGCTGTGCCTGACTGAGATCATGGCTGTGGACTAAAATGACCATAACGACCTGACGTCCTGTACCTTATAGGTAACTTCTGGGAGGCACTCAAGTTGAGTGTAAAGAGAAATTGCCAGGATATATATTTTCATTTGAGATGCTCAGCAGTGCAGTGATGGGAGGACAATCATGCAGATGTAAATGTAAGGAAAAGAAACGATCGTAGTGGAGAAGGCTGCTGTTTCAAACAGGGATACCATTCACTACTAGGGGTGACCAAATGTAGAGCTTAACAGCCCTTAAGCTCAAATATAAGCTGTCTTATAGTCAGATGTGACCTCCTGCAGAGAGGCTGAGCAGGAGGAACCTGGGTGGGTGCAGACTGCTTTTATCATACTCAAATAACAACGCAAAAAACTATGACAATGACAGGAAAAAAAAATCTCAGCATTAAAGATAGAAACAGATGGAGTGGAAAGCAGCACTTGCATCAAAGACACAGATATTAAGAGTGTTGTTTTCCTTCTGCTTGGTTACAAAGCAGAGCAGGCACCCATGGAGAGAAAGGATGCGTGAGTCACTCTGTCTTGGCTGAGATGCCGGTCAGACACAGAGGGAGTCTGCAGTGAAAGACCACTCCATAAAGTGTTTTCGATCTCCTCTAACACGCTTCTTTATGTCTCTGTTGTCTTTGTAGCTTTAAAAAAATATTCTGTTCAATTCTTAAAATAGAGACTTT